TGAGTTCAAAGAAGACTTTAATTTCTTTTTTTTATTTATTCCTTGACTTGGGATTGTTCAATAGTTGACTGTTCAGTTTCCATGAGTTTGTAAGCTTTCTGGGGGTAGAATTGTTGTTAAATTCTAACTTTATTCCATGGTGATCTGATAAGACACAGGTGGTTACTAATTCTTTTTTGTATCTGTGGATGTTTGCTTTGTTACCGAGTATGTGATCAATTTTCGAGAAGGTTCCATGAGATGCTGAGAAGTAGGTATATTCTTTCCTATTTGGGTGGAATGTTCTATATATGTCTGTTAAGTCCATTTGGTTCATTACATCTATTAGTTCTCTTATTTCTCTGTCTGGTTGACCTGTCTATTGGTGAGAGAGGAGTGTTGAAATCTAATATTAGTGTGTGGGGTTTGAGGTGTGCTTTGAGTTCTAGTAATGTTTCTTTTACATATGTGGGTGCTTTTATATTAGGGACATAGATATTCAGGATTGAGACTTCATCCTGATGAATTGTTCCTGTTATGAGTATAAAGTGTCCTTCTCCATCTCTTCTGATTGATTTTAGTTTGAAGTCAATTTTGTTAGATATTAGTATAGCCATACCCGCTTGTTTCTTAGGTCTGTTTGATTAAAAAACCTTTACTCTGAGGTAATGTCTGTCTTTGTGGTTGAGGTGTGTTTCTTGTAAACAACAGATTGTTGGAACCTGTTTTCATATCCATTCTCTTAACCTGTGCTTTTTTATAGGTGAATTGAGTCCGTTGATATTAAGTGATATTAATGACCAGTGGTTGTTAACTCCAGTTATTATTATTATTTTTTTGGTGGTAGAATTTGTGTGTTTCCCTTCTTTGAGTTGTGCTGGTAGAGGGTTGTTAGATGTCTGTGTTATTATGGGTGTTGTTGGCTTCCTTGGGTTGTGGTTTTCCTTCTAGTACTTTCTGTAAGGCTGGGTTTGTGGCTACGTATTATTTAAATTTGTTTTTGTCCTGGAATATCTTGTTTTCTCCATCTATGGTGAAAGAAATCTTGGTTGGGTATAGTAGTCTGGGCTTGTATCCATGGTCTCTTAGTGTCTGCAGAACATCTATCTAAGACCTTCTGGCTTTCTTGGTTTCCATAGAGAAGTCAGGTGTAATTCTGATAGGTTTACCTTTATATGTTACTTGACCATTTTCCTTTGCAGCTCTTAATATTCTTTCTTTATTCTGTATGTTTTGATTATTATATAGTAAGGGGATTTTTTTTGATCCAGTCTATTTGGTGTTCTGTATGCTTCTTGTACCTTCATAGGAATATCCTTCTTTAGGTTGGGAAAGTTTTCTTCTATAATTTTGTTGAATATATATTTTTTTCTGGGCCTTTGAGTTGTAATTATTCTCCTTCTTCTACCCCTATTATTCTTAGGTTTGGTCTTTTCATGGTGTCCCAGATTTCCTGGATGTTTTGTGTTAAGAATTTGTTGAATTTGCTATTTTCTTTGATCAATAAGTTTATTTCCTCTGTAGTATCTTCAGCATTTGAGATTCTTTCTTCTATCTCTCGTATTCTGTTGGTTTTACTTGTCTCTGTAGTTCCTGTTCATTTACCCAGATTTTCCCTATCCGGTTATCCCTTGGTTTATGTTTTCTTTACTGCCTCCATTTCAATTTTCAAGACTCAAACTATTACCATTACCTGTTTGATTGCTTTTGTTGGTTTTCTTGGGTATCTTTAAGGGATTTATTAATTTCTTCAGACTTTTGTTAGTATTCTCATCCATTTCTTTAAGGGAGTTTTTCACATCCTGTTTAAGGGACTCTATCACTTTTATAATGTTATGTTTAAAGTCGATTTCTTCTTCTTCTTCTTCTTCTTCTTCTTCTTCTTCTTCTTCTTCTTCTTCTTCTTCTTCTTCTTTTTCTTCTTCTTCTTCTTCTTCTTCTTCTTCTTCTTCTTCTTCTTCTTCTTCTTCTTCTTCTTCTTCTTCTTCTTCTTC